TGAGAGAGAGGAGAGAGAAGACGGTGTTAGAGAGAGAGAGAGAGAGAGAGAGGCGCGGGACGTTAAGATCCGTTGTTTGTTCAGGATGGAGGTGGTGGGTGGGTGGAAATTAGAACACGTCCATGCGGAAGCAATCCACTTTCCCGCGCCGCGCTAAAATGCGGCGACGGAATACCACGTGTCGTTAACAATGCGGTTTTTTCTATTGTGATGGTGAGAATGCCACGCATACGAGCGTCGTTGAAACGTAAAACTCTAGAGAGAGAGGGAGAGATAGGGTGAAATAAATGTATGAGAGATGAAAAGTTGAAAACCATTTAGAGATAAATCGAATATTATTTAGAAAGAGAAATCTAAACAAAATCAAAAGTTTAGAGAGATTTTGTGATGGAGAGTGGTTAAAGGTGACTATTTAACGATTAGAATCGATCAAAGGTTTGTTTGATCTATTCAAAATTGATCCGTCTAATTCATTTTTTTTAAAATACAATTGTAATTTAAAAATATAAATTAATAGATCGGAATGTATATGAACTATCAAAACTAATTAAAAATTAATTTAAATAAATTTTTAATAAAGGCCAAGGTAAGTTCAATTAATTAAACTGGTCCATTGATAACTTTAAATTCCAAACTTATGAGAGAGATTTTAGTGATCTTAGAGAGAGTTGAGACATTAGAGAGAGAAAGGCAAGTCAGTTTTAAAGAGAGGTAAGAAATTAAAGATCCAAAGTTAGAGAGAGATGGTGAGTACTGAAGCGGTTTCGCGAGTCATGACGAACGGAACGCGTGAACGGAATGAAAACCGAATTAAATGACCGATATAAAATATTGATAGAAAAGCAGAGGGAGAGGGAGAGAGAGAATATGGCGTCAGCTTTCTACACGGGCTTGGAATGAGGGAAGGGGAGGTCCACAAAAACAAAGGCGTAACATAAATGAGGGTGAGACATGAGTCACTCGACTCACTACCAAACAATACAATAGGGTGACACCATCTACATTTCCAAATGTTAGTTAATGAGCAGGTCAAGAAGTACATCAACATCTTGATCGAAGTTTTTTTTTAGTTTTTAATTGATTAAGATGGCCGCATTAATTTTAGTATGCCTTATTGTTTTATTAATGAGCATACTCTCAATAAGAATACAAGTCTCTATATCTTTTTTTATTACTTTCAAATATATCTTTTTGGGTCTATTTTTTGTTCTTTTTGAACCTTTCACTTGCCGGTACTGTATTGGGTATGTGGCACACATGATTAGTCATTTATGTCTACTCTCTCCTATCTTATTGCGTGTTAGTGTCACCCCTAAATTATCCTTAATGTATTCATTTTGAATTCTATCCCTTCTTGTCTTTTCACTCATGTATTTCAATATCTTTATCTTAGTTACACTCATTTTATGGGTATGTTGTTTCTTGATTGCCCAACATTTCGCCCCATAATATAAATCTAATCTCACAATTATCCGATAGAACTTGTCTGCAGCTTCATTGGTATACATCAATCACATAAAACTCCCGTTGTACACCCAACCCTAGTTCTGTATCTTTCTCAATCTTTATGTTTTCCTAGATTATTAATACAAAATATCAAAAGTGTGCTCTTTTTGGTATTTTTTGAGTGTCAATCTTAACTGTTTCATCTTCTCTACTCCTATTATTATTAAACTTACATTCCATATATTATGTCTTAATCCAATTAATTTTAAAATATTTAGATTTTAGAGCATCCCTATATGTCATCCGCGAACAACATGTACCACAATACCTCAACACTCATTAAAAATGATTAGTTTTGGTCATCTCAACATCAAGATGTATAGATAAAGAAAAAACAAAACAGCTTTCAAGTCCTAAATATAGTACTTGCAACACATTATTTGGACCGTCAATTTTAAAGATTTTCAATGTGTTTATAGATTTGCTTGATTTAAACAACTTTTAAAGTTTTAAATTTTATAATTCGAAATAAATTAGATTCTTAGCCTATTCCAAAATTTTGGACCTCAAAATTACATCTTAGTGCAAAATTTGGAGATGCACAACCTTATGCTTTCACAAAAAAAGAAAAATGTTACACCCTTATGCAACCCCACCGCCAAAAGAAATGCTTCTTTGTGATTTGGTCATTTGTGAATTACTTTTTCTTACACTTGCGTTTGTCATAGATGTTCAAACTTCCAAATGCCGCGGTCCTTGGGTTTTCTTCCATTTGTTGACTTCTAAATTGGAGATTAAAAAAATATTAAATAATAAATAATATAATAAAAATAGAAGTTAATAGGCTGGAGGGGATTAATGAAACAATTAGGCTTAACGTAAATGAAAATTATAGATGGGGAGTTTTATAGAACCAGGCCGGTACCCAATATCATCATGGAAGCAGTTCGGTCCCAGTTGATTCTCATTGAGATCAGGGACCTGGATAGGGATGGCAACATGTACGATCGAGTCTAAGTCAACCCAAACCAATCAGACCTTACAATTTACATGGACCCCGACATTGTCCAAGTCATTTGGACCCGTACCCAAGTCTAGCAAAATTATATTTTAAATTTATAGATAACATATATTTTATATCATGTCCGATCAACCGGATCCTATAACCCGACCCACCAAGTCCATGACGCCATTTTGGGTCCACCTACCGGGTTCCAATTGCCACCCCTAAATCCAGATTGAAAATCACTGGGTTTTAAAAATAATAACACCAAATGCTCTCTCATACACACACGCACACCACAATACATTCTCACAACTAGTACATGTAGAATCGAGATTCCCTCATTCCCACCAATGTCGAATCAAATGGGGGAAAGCTATGGTTATAAGGAACTTTTCTCGACTTTTCAATGGTGACGCCCCTCATGCAAAATGGATTTCCCCATTTTGCCTATGCTAACCTTACTCTTAAAGCTTAGTTATGTCCATCTTTCTTTCTCTCGTACTGCAGGTTGAATTATCAGATGTTCTCAGTAAAAGAAAAGGGCAATCTTTCTGTGCTTTTTTTACCACGCATAAAACTTATATTCCCCTTATCCAACCGCTGATTCTGAATCGAGGGTTTAGATTGCTCCAATCATAATGTCACGTTTCTACACTATTTTATTTTTAATTTTTTTTATAAACTATTTTAGCAACAAATTTTGCACATCCAATCCTCTATTAAACTCGCAGCAGCAAAAAAGTAAAAAAAAATATTTTTAATAAATTAAAATGACCAAGATACCCTTGAAAGTTTCAAGGGGTATTTTGATTATTATATTTTAGTGAAAACTATTTTTAATATTTTTATAGGTGCGCCCCAGTGAGAATATGGCATGTACCAAATTTCATATTCATGCAATTTGTATTAAAAAAACTAAAAAAAAAATACTTTGAGACGTCAGATCTAAGATCAAATGGTGAGTGGCTCTCTTGATAAAAAATGGACGGCTGGATAATAGGGAAGCACAGATCTTCTATGTTGTAGAGGAAGTATATAAACCTTTACCAAAAGGAAAATTGTACCTCTCTCTCTCTTTTCTTTTCTTAATGGTGAGTGGCTCTCTTGATAAAAAATGAACTGCTGGATAATAGGGAAGCACATATCTTTTATGCTGTAGAGGAAGTATAGAAACCTTTCTCAAAATGAAATTTGTAGCTCTCTCTCCGTTCTTTTCTTTTTAAATTTTTTGGTGACTGCATGTTGAATTATCAGACGTTCTCAGTAAAAGAAAATTGGGAACTCTCTTTCTTTTTTTTAAAAAAAAAGAAAATTTAGTGAAAAGGTTATATAAGACTCGAACTTGAGACATAGTGCTATGAAAACGTAGCTACAACCGCATTGACCCAAGCCCAATTCCTAAAATTGGGAACTCTCTCTTGCCACAAAAATGTAGTCAAGTTATTCAAGGTCTCTTCCGTGTAAAAACTGGAATTCTTTTGCCCCTGAAAAGTCATTTATGAATTATCTATACCAATTTCTATATATAGGGCATGCGTTCTTTGCTTCCCCTACAACATAGAACTTCTATGATTCCCCTTATCCAATCATCCATTCTTAATGAAGGGCTAAGATTACCCCAATCACGATGTTACGTCTCAAGGGGTATTTTAGTCATTATTTTCAACAATTTAAAATAACCAAAATACCCCCATCATTTTTCAGAGGTATTTCGATCATTTTATATTTTGAAAAATATTTTTTATTTGTGCTCTCTATTTTTAAGTACAGATATCTAAAATTTCTTTATGATCTAATTTATAAAAAAATAATTAAAATTAAAATAGTGATATGCATTCTGAACCGCATGATGAAGATCTGATAGCTCCCATTCCACTTATATTACTATTCATTATAGCTGACCAACTATTATTAGCTTTTTCATATATATATGGGTTGTTAGATTATGGATATATATCATTACGAATACATATCACTATATCTCTTGATAGGATTAGGATATGTATCATACATATGCATATCTCTACAATATATTATCTTGATAAGATTAGGATATGTATCGATACATATTAAAATGGATATGCATCTGTATGGATATTGTATGGATATATCCATAATGATGTATATCCATAAAGCAATGATATAATGCAACTGTTGTATCATAGTATGATACAACGACACTTCTAAAAACCATGTTTGTGGTATTTGTATGACCCCAAATTTTGCACATACACTCTCTTCATCTCAATAATCAATCCCAAAAAAAAAAAAAAGTTCAATTTGAATCCTAGATATCGTCAAAATGAATCCCCTCCAAAAACGAATCTAGACCATTCATTTTGTGAATTTCAAGATCTTAGCCATCCTAAACTCAAAATCATTTTTTTCTTTTAAATCCGTCCAAAAAAATTAGAAATGAAAAAATCCTTCTAAAACCTAGATCTAAGCATCTCACTATGCCTATGTTAATTGGGCTAAAAATATACTTTCTAAGTTGTGTTTTCAATTTTTTGTGATTGTTCATTTGAATGAAAAGAGTATATATTTCAAATTTGGATCAAATAAATGGCCACAAGATGATTTTTTAAAGTTGTTGCATCATATTACTATACAACCGTGGCATAAAATCATAACTCATATCCTAACATGGATAGTGATTTCATGCGATGATTGTATCATAGTATAATGCAACAATCTTAAACACAATGTTAGAGCCACTTGTTTGATCCAAATTTTAGAATATACACTTTTTTCATTCTAATGAACAACCACAAAAAAATATATATATATTTACTAATGTCCCTACCAATCTCTCTCTCTCTCTCAGTTTTTTAATTATTTTCCCTTATTTTAAACTTTACAATATACAAACTTGGAACTAATATGGATCCAAATTCGGATCCGGACCTTATATATATATAGTTTCAAATCCAAATCTGATTATTCGATTGAATCTGATCCAAATCCAACATATACTTTTTGGATCTGAATCTGGATCTAGAAGGATCCGGACGCGAACTGAATTATCAGCCCTACTATTGGACCAAAACTCGTGAGTTTGGTGCGTTCTTATGAGGTCAAACTGAAATCCATCATCCGGACGAGATTTCATTTGGAGTACTTCTTGGGCTCCAAACAATTTCTTTTGCGAAATTGACCTTGAAGAGTGCAGTAATCAGAAGTCAAAGAGTTTTGGCTCTCACCACTCCTAATTAGGAGTTCACCACAATTTGGACCCGCAAACCTGTTGATAATAACTAATCTTCTACATGAAACTTGGCAGCTACTACGACCTAACAGAGAGAGGAACAAGAAAGCATGATGCAAAGGAAGTCTAAATATCATTTAGAATAGTAGCAATCTATTATAGGTAGAGTTGAGGTGCATTTCGGGAAGCGCATATTAGAGTGAGTTCACCATCCCAAACTCTTTATCTCGGATATTGATAATAATGAATTTTGATCCAAAATTTTATAGGTCTATCATCTAGACCACCATGATCATGAGTTTGAAAGAAATAAAAAGCTTGCATCTCAAAAATGGGTTATTTTGCACTGTTTTCTGGAACCTTCCATTTATATTCTTTGAAGACCATATGATCCAGCAGGTTTTTTTTGGAGCTCCAAATTCATGGATCCGAGGCCAAAATGCATTCACAGTGATTAGTGGTATATTTTGGCTCCCAAATCTCTTGAAAAACAGGGCGAACACGAAAGTCGGGCCACCCACCCCAAATATTTTTCATCTATTATAAAAATTTTCTGTTTACAAATGAGTTACATCATAGCTACTCAGTATAAATCTTCTCTCTTAAATAGTCATGTATGACAGATGAAGAATTGTGACCGCTGTTGTGTGGTAGCATGCTTTATTGAATGCAACCAAGGCAAACTGAGATTTAATAGACAAAAACTGGAAATCACAGCTGCCGATATGGCAAAAAATAATAATCTGATCTAGTCTAGTCTATGAAAGAATGCATTATATAAATGGCATATATTATACCCCCCAAAATGGCATTGGTACATCTCTTATTTTCTCTAACTAAATATATCATAATCAGCGAAACCTGCAAATCACCAGGACAAGCAATTAGTATATTACCAGTGAAGAGCCATAATACAGTATCTGAGAAAAAGAGAATAGCAGATCCTTTCCCAAAATCCAAGATCCAACCAAAAAAACAAATTCATAACAATAAAATAACAATAGTTAGAAGCAGTTTTTAAAAAGTCGAATGCAAGCTTCATCTCGCCAGGAGCCTGATCCCGAACTTACCAAGGTCCAAATCAGGCTCCAAAAAAGCACTAAAAAAAAGGGTGCATTGAAGCTGATAACCAACTGAAATGTTTATTTTTAGGGAGTGTATGCCAACTAAATAAATTGGGAAAAGGCTATTGATGATGATGCTAATTAAATAAGAAAACTGTAGAATGCTAGCCTACTCTCATCCACCACAGTGAATGAAAGAATGGTGGAGATTGGACCAGGGATGGAGACAATCCATACGTATGGCCTGGATCTAATTGGATGCAAGTATCCTTGGCCCACCACTATCTGCCTCCTCTACAACATGGTTGCTTCCTGCCAGTGTCCATAGCTTTCCCATGTTTGGGTTCATTCAATCTTCAATTCTCATTTATTAAAAAATAAATTGTACTTTATTATAATAGAACATGTATATCATTTATTCCCAACAAACTATTTAAGGAGGCCGTGTAAGGTACATTTTAGTTTAAAACTTAAATATCAAAATAGATTCCTTTAAATAAGATATCAGCACTTACCTGATAGGAAGGACAGTAGATAGCCACTCACAATTGTGTGAGCTACTTTAGGCAACTTCTATGCATTAAAATCAGGTGTCAGGTGTGTGAATATTCTCTAGGTATTCATTGACTCGATTTCAACATTCAAATTCAAAATAATAAGTAAATTTCAAAATAATTAGTTAAAATTGTTTTCTACTTTAAATCCTGGAATGTGTTTGTACTGCGATACCTTAAAATTATCGCGATTGTGCTACAGTTCTGATAGGTGATGTATATTTCTGTGAGAAAATTCCAGTAATATAAATATCCCGTGGCTTTTGTCACTAAGGTTCAAGAAGTCATTTGTCCCAGTTCAATACTTCAATAGCTGAAGAAAAAGGATGACTCTCACAACTAATCGTCTTATTCATTCGGGGGTAGATCTCATCGGCTGCATGCGCAATGGACAAGAAGCACACCTCTCACAGACCTCCAGGTTTGGACTTTGACTGGTCCATTTTAAACTTGGAACATGAATCAGTTTGGGATAAATTTACCATCCATTTAATTGGGTTTGTTGAAAATCATGAAGAAAGAGATAAAGCATTAAAAAACAAAGAGATAAAGCATTAAAAAACAAAGTCGTGAATAGTGTAGCTACCTTTCAAGCCAAGAAGGAACAAATAGCAGGTCAAGTCATTATTATTCAGCCCAGTTCAGAGTTGAACTGACTAGTACAACTAGGTTTTCCTCGAATGCTAATGAATGCAGAACAACAAAAACAACAATGAATGACATAAAAAATCAATTTGACAACAATAGGAAGAAAATATTAACAGGATTTCAGACCACGCATGTAAATTTTGATAAAATGAATAATAACATAAATAAAGTCATTTTAATGGAAAAAGTTTATATAGAGCCGAGGCTCTAAACAATCAAATTAGAGCCCACCTCAAAAATTTCACTTGAAGAGGTTGTTTTGATGCTCAAATATCCTCAAATTGATCATCTCCACATCAAGATGCATGGACATGAGAAAAAAATGGATTTCAAGTTTTGAAAATAGTGCCTCTTGTAACACATTTTTGAACCGCCAATTTTCAAGATTTTCAAGTTTCCACAGATCTGCTTGATCTACACTATTTTTTTAAGCTTTAAATTTCATAATTAAATATGAAAATACATTTGAAGGCTATCATAAAGATTTTCAGTATTGAAACCACATTTCTCGACACTATTTGAAGGTGCTCTTCAAATTGATTGTTTAGAGCCTCGGCTCTATACAAACCACACCCAAATTTAATATATATATATATATATATAGACACACACACACACATATATGCAAACAACACGGTGCTTAGCACCAAAGAGTTCATTCTAAGCAGAAAACATGCATAAACAAATGCAGAATGGACCAGTACAACAAAAAACAGGGAGAAGGGACTTTAATCCATTACTCACCTAGGCGTTCTTTTCTCAGATGATAGTATTCGCAAGCAATAAATGTACTGCAATCCAATAAAATACAGTTGCAAGCCTTAAGGTAGGTTGCCTCATCAGGGCACGTTCACCAGAGACCCTGGTTGATAATAAACAAAATTAGTATCCATAAACCAAATATGACAAACTATCCATCGTTCAAGGAAAAAAGAAACAAAAAAAAAACTATTATTTGCCTACCATATTCCATCAATCTTGTCTGCTATGGGTCTTGTAAATCTTGGCACAATCTTTGATGTAGTAAGTGATTTAAAACCATGTGCTGCACAAATGAACATAAAGAGAGAGAGAGTAGTAAGTGACTTTCCTATAAAATCCCTAAGCCATCAATAATTAATTCATAAGGATTCAACTTGCCTTTATCATCATCTTCATCCTCTAATACTGTGTTTCCAGAATCCTCAGTATCCATAGTTAGAGCAATATAATCATTGGTGGCCTTGCGCCCACTTCTCACATGAGGTGTAACAGGGCCCAAAGGAACTGGTCTTTTGCCCCTATGTCCCTAATAATGCATAGAATAGTCATTCATTATGAATCACCATAGAATGGGCCAGCCAGGAAATTCTTAGTCAGCCAAGAAGGAAAAGCAATTTTTTCCGACATGCATCAGTAACAGGTTTCTCTCATTGTAAATGGTAATCTAGAAGCATGTAGAAGACATAAAACCTTCAACTGATGCTCAAGACATGGTTCACAAAAAAACACAAAACACGAGTAGTAAATATGTGTGAA